GCCTTGACCTGCTGGGTTCAGGAGATCCTTCCGTTTCAGCAGGAAGTGCAGGCAGGCACCACCATGCCCAACTAAATGTCTGTTGTTTTAAGTCACTGTGTTTGTGGTACTCGAGGCAGTTCTAGTAAACTAACACACCATGTCCCCTTTTGTTCCACCATGGATTGGAGCTGTTGTGGGTCACATGCGCAGGTTGGTAATCAGGCACTGGAAGGTACACACAGAGGCACTTGCTCTGCCTTTCCCACTCTTCCTTCTTTAAGACAGAGAGAGAGGCTGGATGCAGATTCCTGCTGGCTTTACTGTGAGGGAAGTTTGACACATCCAGAATGCGGAGCACATTGTTGAAGCTTAGTCGTGGCACAGGGCAGGCAAGTCCAGGACCTAAAGTCAGACAGATCTGTGTGCACAGCCGGGCCTCACTGCTTCATGCCTGTGAGAACCAGGGCTAGTGACACAACTCCCTCAAGACCTGGTTTCTCTGGTTACACAATGAGACTGAAAATGTATAGCTCATAGGAACCTTGTGAAAATCAAAGTAAATAGGACAAGAAAGAAGCTTAGTATCATTCTTGGCACATAGCGGGTACTCATGAAATCATAAGCAAGGAAGATGACATTAGTGATGATGGTGATTTTTGGCAAAGCTGGGACTGTCACCCAGGTTTCCTGATGTCCCAAGGCAGTGCCCCTAATTCCACCTGCCCATGCCCCTGTTGCAGTTCCATTGATTCCTTTGTCCCCTGCTATTGGGGCAGCTCAACGTTTCAACAGACCCTAAAACTTGAATGGGATGAGGGATTGAGTCCCTGAGTTAAGAAAAATGCCAGTGTCTGCCTTAAGTTTCTTTTCTCTTTCACACTCAGATTCTTCATTTCCTAGCCTGACACAATCACTTTTTTGACTCAATAACAGCTCCTGTTTTTTGTATTTTAAGAAAAGCTCCCCTCATGTAATAAAGGTCTTTGTGTTTTAAGTAATGTTCCCCTCATGTAAGTGATGTTTATGCACGATCAATCCTTTTGAAAGAGTTCAGTCTCCCTATTTCTACAGCCTGAGCTGTCTCTGGGTTCCACAGCGAGGTGACATTATTTTATTTTGCTTCTTGTTTTCTTCTCCTTCTTTGTCTCTGCTCTCCATGTTTCTCTATGTGTGTTTTCTTTTCCACTCCATGTCTTCCTTGTCACTTTCGTTCTTTCTGTATCTGTCTCCCTTCCCACGTCCCTCTCTCACTCCCCCTCTCTTCTCTCCCTGTCCTCTGTATATGTATACATGTTCAGTTTGCCTTGACGATGTATCCTCTTTAATCTCTGTTTCTTACTCCTGTTTCTCTCCTCTCTTCTCCCTATTCTATCTGTTCATATTCATCTTCTTTTTTCACTTTTCACACTTTTCTCTGCCTTCATTCGCCTTTCTTTTAATCTCATTCTATATCATTCTCCCCCGTGTCTCTCTATACCTCTGTGTGTGTGTGTTTGTCTATCTATCTATCATCTATGTTTCTATATATCTATCCATCTCTGGATGACTGTGTGCATTTCTGCCTCTCTGTTCCTCTTCTTTCTCTCTCAGCAGTATCTCTGTCAGTTTACCTCTTTTCTTGCTCTCTCAGATCTCTCTGTCTTTATCTCCTCCTCTCACTCTGCATTCCTTCTTCTCCCTCTAAGGATATTAATATTTTAATAGCCTTAATGTCCTCCCAGGATCCTCAACTCTACCAATGATTCAAAAGTGGCAAGTCTCCCCAGAGCTTCATTTCAGAAACTATTAATTCTCTTCCCCATATACCTGTCACCACACTCCATACAAAGTCAGGAAACCAGGCGGAGTCCTGGCAGGGCTTTGCTTCTCCTCTTTGTCTTTATACAACAATGTCCCTGGACAGAAATGACTTGAAATGGGAACACAGAGTTGGGGGCAAGGATGGGGAGTCTCCTGCTGGGGAGGCTCTTGGTGAAACTCCTGATTGCTGGAGACTGCCTCCACACCTTTTGGGGTTTTCTTTGTTTCATTTGAAAACATTTACCCAGTGCCAGTTCTTTCCAGGCCTTGTGCTGCAGGCTGAAGAGAAATGAATAAATCTTGAGCCCTTCCCTGTAAAAGCTTACAGTCTCCCTGGGAGACCATGGAGCTGATAATTAAGATCAATAAGATAATAGATTTAAACAATATGCTCAAAGGGAAAAGGAATTAATTCTAGTGGGAAGAGTAGAAAAGGTTATACAGAGGAGGTAGCAGTAAGCTCCCTGGAAGTCCAGACCTTGTCCCAAGCCCTGACAGTATCCCCAGAAACTAGAATAGTGCCTAATTCATGGGAAGCACTCAATCATGTTTAATATGTGATGAATTAATGAGAATAGTTGTCAAGGATTCTTAGGATTTCATCAAGTAGAGAAATTGGAGTTGAGCATCCCAGACAGAAGGATGGGGAGCAGAAGCTCATCCTGTACCCAGATACCTTCTACAGGGCTGACCCACCCATGTGCCAGCTGTGACTATCAGTGGCTTTAGCTCAGGGAACTACCTCACCCAAGTATACCCCTTCCAGATAGCAGCCATGACTGGCAAAGGCCAGGACCCCTTACTTTAACTCAGGACATTGATAAAGGGCCGCCCTGGATCCATAATTCCCCACAGGATCAGCCGAAATCTCCAGATACACACTGTAGGTCTGCATCTCCCTTTGCCCCATCCTGCCTTACTCACTTAAAAAATTTTTTAAAAATTTCTTTTTCATTTTTAAGATGTGGGGTACAAATCAGGATTGGGTACATAAGCAGTCTACATACAGGTGAAATTTGGGCCTCCCATTGGACCTCACTTCACCTGGATTGGGATTACGTACCCTAATTGATGTTATGTACTCTCCCCCTCCCCTGGTAGTGCCCCACTACTGCCAATTCCTTTCTTGTAGTATTATGATAGTATTCAGGGTCCACTTATGAGTGAGCACATGTGGTACTCAGTTCTTTGTTTCTGTGATAGATCACTCAGTATTATAGACCTAAATCCATCCAAGTTGCTGTGAAGTCCATAACTTTGTCCTTCTTTATAGCTGTATAATATTCCATCGTGTATTTGTACCACATTTTTTTATCCAGTCTACTTTCAGTGGGCAGCACATTTGGTTCCATGTTTTTGCTATTGTGAATAGTGCTACAATAAACATGTATGCACAGTTATCTTTTTTTTGTAGAATGATTTGAGTTCCTCCAGGTGTATTCCCAGAGACCTAAATGTAAAACCTCAAATTATAAGAATCTTAGAAAATGCAGGAGACACTCTTGTGGAAATTGCCCACTTCTACAGGAGTATCTCCAAAGAGGGCTCCTCAATAAACTTCCTGGATGTAACTTTTCACTTCAGAGTCTGTTTTCAGGGACTGTATTCAGGGAATGAGAAGAGACCTGTGACTAAAGGATATAAAAACAGGTTAAATGTAGCTGGACAGGTAGCCAGAGACCAGATTATGATGAGTCTTGAATACCAAGAAAACTAATTTATATTTCTTCTCTAAGTACTGGGAAGCTATTGATCAGAGGAGTATCTAATTAGAGCTGGGATTTACCAAGCTCACTGGCAGTCAGTATGAAAGATGGGGCAGAGAGGAGAAGACTGGAGGCAGAAAATGAGTTAGGAGACCCGAATCTGGAGCTCCATGCCTGTGGAAGGGAAAAATAGGAGAAAGTATGAAGGATGGCCAGAGACGTCCCCTGAAGTGCTCATCGACCTCTTCCTAGTTCACTTGCGGACATAGGCATCTTCCTTGTTTTACAGCTCTGAACCCCATGAGGAACATACCAGGGAAGAATATATGCTGCTTCTTTTTTTAAATTTTAATCAATATTTTTTATTATGGTTTTGTGGGGTACAGTTAAGGGTTAGATGTACAATTACGTTTCATTCAGGCACCCTGTTGATAAGAGGTGTTTCCCCATCCCCAGACAGATATATGCTACTGTTAATCCCATATGCTGCTTCTTACCAGCCGTGGTATCCCTTTTAATAGCTCCTGCAACTGTGGGAATCATACCTACCCCCAGTGTGAGGACACCCCTTATTTGGGGCCCTTTCTCCAGAACATGACATCCAGAAGCTCTCAGCTGTATCCCCCATCTTGTAAAATAGCATCTTACAGAATTTTCACAGATCCACAGATTATGGTATCATGTCTAGACTTATCTACTGAGGACCTCATTTGGGAGGAACCATGCATCTCCCTGGAATCCCATGACCTTTCAACCACCTGTTGCTGACTGTTGTGATGGTATGATTTGTAGGCCATAGTCTGAAAGATAACATTCTAGGGTCCTAGGGTCAGACTCCTGTGTTTGTGTTTTTGCTCTGCTGCTTATAGGCTGTGGAATTTGGGTACAATCTTTCAAAGTTTCAACTTTATATTTATAAAGCTGAAATAATAGGAAAGCGCCCACCTCAGCAACAAGGGTACATGCATAATGACCATTTGTATACCTAACCCTGAATTGTACCCTACATCTTTAAAATAAAAAAATAAAAAAAATAGGAACGTGCCCAATTGTAGAGTTGTTATAGGGAACTCTAGAACCTACAGACACGGATATGATGCAAGGTCAAAATTATTTATTGAGAAGTGCTTTCTCTTTAAACTCAAATGAAGCTTGATACAAACTTTAGTTTTGTTGCATTTTAAACTGGGTGGCTTTCAGCAAGACACTTCACCATTCTCAGACACAGTTTACTTATTGGTAAAATAAACATCTCATACCTCCTTTCTGAAATTATGAGGATTAATGTTATAAAAGGGTACCAAGTTCTAAGTTCATTTATCTGTGTCATAATTAGACTTAAGTACCATGTCATATGATAATATCTGTTGCTGTTTCTTTTGAAATATGTATTTGTATTACTTTCCAGATTATAAATAAGTGATCATTTCAAATGTAATGAACTCACATGAATTTGTAAAAATCTAATGATGCAGATGTCTCTGGGGTTTAACCATCCCCTTTCTCTCCAAGGGAAGAAGCGATGCTGTCCACGTACTTTGAAACCATCAATGACCTACTATCCTCCTTTGGACCAGTTCGTGACTGCTCTCGGAACAATGGGGGTTGTACACGCAACTTCAAGTGTGTGTCTGACCGCCAGGTGGACTCGTCGGGATGTGTGGTAAGTGCTCATTGGCCTAGAAACATGACATTGGTCCAGGTGCTAAGGCTGCCTGCTGGGGGCCCCTTGCTGTGAGAGGAAGCTGATCAGGGAGGATCATACCACCGTAGCTTGTGCCTGTGGCACAATTAAACCTACCTGTTGGGATTGTTGGAAGAATGAAGCGAGATATCATAACTTAAGTGCCTACCATACAATAGCTCCTGGAGAGCTGTTGGTCTCCAGAAGCTTGCAGAACATTTGGGAGTGAGATGGGGCATGTCTTACCTCTATGAATACAATGGGTGGCAGGTCGGTGAGATCTAAATAGTGCAGAGAGTAGGTACTTTGGTGTGGCTGAGAAGAGCAAGTTTCTACTGAGACCTAAGGTTTGTAGAAGGTTTACTTGGAAGTCTTGGTAGTGTTGGAATTGACTTCAAAAGATGGATCAACTGACATGAGGAAATGAGGGAGGATGGCACAGGTGTGGAGGCTGGAGAGGCAGCCTTGTTTGTATGGAGTTTTAGTATCTAGTATGGAATAAAGACATAGGAGAAGATATGTGAGAATTTCTATTGCCTAAAGAAGGGTTTCCCCAAATTGATGATTTGTTTTATGAAAATGGCCTAGGGTGATTGTTCAAAATGCAAGTTTCAGAGTTCTGGCTCTAGAATTTTTTAATCTATAAAGGAGATAGAATTTTTAACAAGTATGTGTGTGTGTGTGTAAGTGTGTGTGTGTTAAGGCCCCCATACGCTAAACTCAACCTGGCATTCAATGCCCGTCTTCCTGTGGCCCCTTTCTAACCTCTCTAGTCACACAAAGAGGTTACTCTTTACTCTTACGACTTTAATTTTATATGAGAGCCAAATGGAGCTAATCAGCTGTGGACCTCTAAACACACTTGCCTGTTAATGCCTTCGTGCCTTTGTTCAATACTGTTCTTTCTCCCTAGAATACATTGCTCTCCAATCCCACGCAGCAAACGAGTAAGGTCTTTCCAAATCCATCTCCTTTATGAAGCCTCTTCCCTTTCCCCAAGGTGGCATTATTCTCCCCCCAGAGAGGTGGTGGTGCTCTTCTAGGGATCATTACTGTTTTCTGTGCCCACATTTATTAAATCACCTGTAACGCTTTATAGCACAGACTGACTTTTGAGCTTATCTTTCCCAACAAACTGAGGGAAAACCCGGGGAATCTGTTGATTCAGCTCATTACCCCAATACTACGCATCTCAGTAAATAAGGAAGAGAAGAAGAAGATCAGGAAGGTCGGGATGGGGCCAGGAATGTGAATTCTTGCACTGGTTTAGGTTCTCTGAACAAGACCCAAGGGAAATAGAACACACAGTCAGCCCTTAGTGCACCAACACACCAGCTGGGAAATAAACAAAGATCCTGAGATTGATACAAAGTATAAACTTCTAGAAAATGAGATGATGCAGTGAAACTATATTTGACTCAATGATCAACAATCTTTAGAGGTAGATGGACAATTAGAAATTGTATAGATTAGAATTCCTGGAATTACAAGTGACTGAAACTAAAACTAGTTTAGGCAAAAAGAAGTAATGTATTGGTTCAAATGGAAGTTTAAGGGCAGTTGGATTGAGGGGCTCAAACGATGTTACTGGGGGGCCCGTCTTTAGCTCTGTCCCCTTAGCACCATGTCATTCTCTGGCTAACTGCACCATCTCTAGTCAGCGAGTGCTGCAGCACAAGAACACCTCTCACCTGGTCTCTCCAACTACAGTCACAGGATGGCATCTCACTGGGCCATCTTGGCTCTCATGCCCATGCCTGCACCAATTGCTTGTCAGGAAGATAGACAGGGCTCATCCCAGAAGCAGCCATACCTAGAGCTTGGGTCAGGAGGTAGCTATACCTTAAACATATGGTCCTGAGAGGGAGGAAGGCATAGACTCTCAAGGAAAAGTGAGGTGCTGGCAGCAGAGCATGAGTTGTGGATGGGTTAAGACCATAAACATGAGTAGCTGTCTATCGCAGAGTGTTGCAATCCAGTCCTTTTATTTTGCATATTGGAAAAGTGAGACCCACTGAGGGGAGTAGTTGCCCAAGTCTTAGAGCCAGTCAGTAGACAGACAGCTCAAAAGGATGTTCCAGATCCATGTTGTCTTCAAAACATGAGGCTGATGTTTCTGAAAAGATTAAGTTGTCTACCTCTTTCTTCTTTTCCATCAGTTTTTGTTCCCAAACTAAGTTCCTTCTCCTTTAGGATAGATGTTCTATAAGAATGAAACCTCAGAATGCAGAGATGCACACGCGCCCGCATGTGTGTGCATGTGTGTGTGTGTGTATGTGTGCATGTGTGTGTAAAAAGAAGCTGTCTCTCCTTACCTCTCATTAATATAAACTGGAAAAATAAAAACAGAGAGACAGAACATTTATTCCCTGGAGGTTAAGAGAAAATTCGAATCTGATGAAGTTGTCAAAGACCCACCTCTCTAGATTAAGGATGTAATTTTCAAGCTGCGACTCCAGGGTTCAGGTGAGTTCTTCCCTACGTCTCCAGAATAGACAGGGCAATACCCATGCTCACACTGAGGTCTTAAATCCCTTTCATTTCTCTATAGGCTCTCCATCATGCCTGCAAAGAGAAACTTTTTCTCATAGCTCCCCTTCTAAGAAATTCCATCTGGTATAAAAATAATAATGCCTTATATTTTTAGCTACTTTAGAGTTCTCAAAGCATGTCTACATCCAATAACTCATCCTCACAGCAAGCCTGGACTATAGATTCCCTCATAGATACGGAAATAAGGCTTTGGAAGCAGAGTGGCTTTCCATGGTCTTACCACCAGGTGGCAGGTTGGAGGAACACGACCATGTCTTCAACATCATTTTTACCGCGGGGCCATTGGGGTTGCTTTCCCAAAGTGGGAGCTCAAAGGAGATCATACTGAGAAACCGTGGAAAGGAGGGTGGTCTGAGTTGATGGGGCTCTGGAATCTATGTTGACTTCTTTAGCCTCAGCTTCTTAATGCTTCAAAAGGAAGCAGCAGTTCTTTGAGTTCATAGATTTTTCTGAAAAGTCAAAGAATATAATTGGAAATGATTTGGGACTTACAAAGTACCATTTGTGTGTGAGATAATGAGGCCACATTACTGATATTTGTATGTAGTGGATATGATATTTGGGGCCACACACATTTAGAAGCACAGCATATCTAATTTTTGGTAATGTTTCCATAACTGAATTTCATTTCTGTTTTAGTGTTAGTAGAAACTTAATTCTAGTCAGATTCACTTTTCTGCCTCCTACCTCTTAACTGGACATTTAAGTTCAAGAGACTGATGTGCCCTTAGGCCTAGGGCGTGAGAAAATGTTTGGTGCTGAGCCATCACATCTCAATTGGGTGCCTGTTGTCTCATCTGGTCCTTGTCCATCATTTATTTCCTTTCTAGTATCTGTAAGGACCTCTCTGTGCCCACCCGACTTACAGGTGTGCAGTCCATCTGCTGCTGCCTTGTATTCTTCATTCTACCCCAAAGTCATTCAAAGTCACTTGAATCTATCCATAGATAGCTTTTCCACCCTCCTAAGGGCATGAGAAATGTCCAGCAGTTCTACCCTGAGGATCTGAGGGAGGCTTTCTTGATCTAGACACATCAGGAAGGCATTTGTAGTAGGCTGTTTTTATGCCAAGGAAGAGCACCTACCATGCTTGCTGTCATCCTGGGCTATCTGGCAAGCGAGGCCTAGACCCCTCTTGACTTCAGACTCACCTGATTTTCCATATCCTTTGCCCCCTTTAACTACCCTTGGGATTAGTCTGGTAGGGATAAAGCAGGGGGGCTCTTTTAGACATCCATTAGCATTTACAAGTTTATCGTATTTGACTTTCACCATTTCTTTTTTCCCCCAGCTCAAATGATCTTTGTGGATGGGAGGAAATCTAATTCTTTAATAGAGCAACAATTTCCCCATTATTGCTATATTATTACCACTGTTGTTATTATTATTTTATCTTCTATCTAGACCTCAACTTCTGAAACACAAAATTTAAAAATGGGACATCCTTTGCTTGTTTCTTTGGTTCGGCTGTGATAACCTTCTCCTGGGATCATGTGTTTCTCAGGTATATAGTTGCCCAGTTGGGAGAAGATCACAAGGTGTGTGGTGGGTGGAATAATGTTCCCCTAAGGATGTCTACATCCTAATCTCCAGAATCTGTAAATACATTGTATTACCTTACATGACCAAATCGGGAACTAAATTTACATATGGAATTAAGATTACTAATTAGCTGACCTTAAAAGAGGGCAATTATCCGGATCATCAGGATGTGCCCATTGTAACCACAAGGGTCCTTACATGTGGAATAGAAAAGAATAGAGCAGAGAGACACCATTGCTTGCTGTGAAGTTAGAGGAAGAGGGTTGCTCGCTAAGGAATAGAAATGGTCTCTAGAAGCTTGAAAAAGCAAAGAGATGGATTTACCCCTAGAGCCTCCAGAAGGGAACACAGCCCTGCCAAGATTTTGACTTTAGCCCACTGAGACCCATTTGGGACTAGAACTGAAGGATAATAAATTTGTGAGGCCAAACACGGTGGCTCACTCCTATAATCCCAGCACTTTGGGAGGCTGAGCCAGGTGGATTGCTAGAGCCCAGGAGTTTGAGACCAGATTGGGCAACATAGCAAAACATCATCTCTTCCCAGAAAAAAACAAACTAAAACAAAGTAACTGGGCATGGTGGTGCATGCTACTCAGGATATCGAGATGGAAGGATCACCTAATCCCAGGAAGTCGAGGCTGTCATGAGCCATGATCATCTTGATCTTGTCACTGCACTGCAGCCTAGGCAATGGAGTGAGACCTCGACTCAAAAATAAACAAAAATAAATAAGTAAATACAAATTAATTTGTGTTGTTTTAAAACAATAATTGTGCAGTAATTTGTTACAACAGCATAAATACTAATAACAGGGCAGAACATAATAGGAGGGAAAATGATATAATAGATAATATATTAAGAATTCTCAGCTGGGCTCAGTGG